CAACTCTGAGATATCATCTTACTCCTGTCAGAATGACTAAAATCGAAAACACCAATGACATTTTATACTGGAGAGGATGTGGGGAGAGGGGAACACTCCTCCACTGCTGGTGGGAGTGCCAACTTGTATAGCCACTATTAAAGTCAGTATGGAGATTCCTCAGGAAAATGGGAATCAGTCTACCACAAGACCTAGCAATTCCATTCTTAAGCATATATTTAAAAGATGCCCATTCACACAACAAGGATGTCTGTTCCACTATGTTCATAGCAGCATTATATGTAATAGTTATATCCTGGAAGCAACCTAGATGCCCCACAACTGGAGAGTGGATAGAGAAAATGTGGTACATTTACACAATGGGGTACTACTCAGCGGAAAAAAAACCAATGGAACCTTGAAATTTGCAGGCAAATGGAAGGCACTAGAGGAAACCATCCTGAGTGAGATAACCCAGACACAAAAAGACAAACATGGTATGTACTCACTCATATATGGATTTCAAATATGGATCAGTGGAGTGTTAGCCCACAATCCCAGTGCCAGTGAGTCTGGGAAACAGGGAGGTTCCCAAGAGAGATGGATGATACCCCAGAGAAGTGGAATGAGGCAAGATCTCCTGAGCAGATTGGGAACACCAGGGGTGGGGAGAGGGAACCAGGAGAAAGAGAGGGGAATAAGAGGATGGGAGAAGGCATGGGGAAGCAGGAAGGTTGAGTCGAGGTAAGAACAGAGGAGAGCAGGATGAGAGATACCATAATCAAGTCATTATAGGCTTGAGGAGAGAGCTGACACTAGTGAGATTTCCAGAGATCTACAAGGATAACACTAACTGGCAATAGTGGAGAGACTACATTAATAGCCTCTCCTTGATGATAAGGTTTATGACTACCTTATATGCCATCCTAGAACCTTCATCCAGTGACTGATGGAAACAGAGACAGATACCCACAGCTAAACACTGAACAGAACTCCTGGAACCTAGTGACAGAAATGGAGGAGCAAAAGGGTCAAGACCATGATGGTGAAATCTACAAAGACACCTGACTGGTTAAGGGGGAGCTCTTGTATCACAGACTGGTGGCTGAGAGGCCAATAGGGGACTGACCCAGATTCCACCAATGTAGTGTCAGGGAGGAGGCCACAGAAATCATTGGGGCCTTGGGTAGTAGATCAGTGTTCACCATGGTGTATGAATGATCTTTGGGAGCCCATTACAAATAGAGGGATGTTCTCTCAGCCTGGACACATGGGAAAGTGCCTAGGTCTTGCCCTGGATGAAATGACAGACTTTGGAGATACCCCCAAGGAGGGCCTCATCCTCCCTGGGGAATGATGAGGGCATTGGGTGGGGGCTGGGGGGCTGGTGGAGGAACAAGGGAGGAGAGGTGGGAGAGGGATCTGGGGTTGACATGTGAAGTGTTCATGTTTCTAATTTAATAAAAACATATATTGAGAAAAAAACTGGTGGGGTCATTTTACAAGAACCAACTCAGGTAGAGTAAAGGAAGAAACCAGGGCTGAATGTAGACCAGCAATGCGGAGGAGGCAGGGGAGGAACCAGCAAGGCCAGGAGATCATAGAAAAGGAGAACCTTGGACTTGGTGTAGGAAATGTGTATGTATAAAGGCTGTTGAAGAGGAGGTGGTGAGCTGCTCCCAGTCCAGTGACCATGATGATGAATGTGCAACAAATACAGGAAAGACAGTAGACTGTTGAGTGAAAGTTTCAGGGCACAAGTTACACTTGGGCAATGGGAGAATCCCACAGGCTTCCAAGATAGTAGCACAGGGTAAAAAGATGTCAAGCATATGCTGGTCACAGAAGTCTGGAAACATGAGTGACACCTGGGAAAGACTGGGCTGAAAGGTCTGAGAAATGAGTGCTAGATATGAATGGAAGTGGGGTTGGTGACCAAGGTTAGTTGGGCTTCAGGTAACCACTAAATGACATCAGAGGAAGGATGGGAAATGCCTACAGTAGCATGGTTGCACTGTCTGTTGGGTAGATGTAAAGAGAAGCTTTTTCTTTGAGAGAAGCCTTCCCGCCAGCCTGGTTCTAGAGCCGCATGAGTCCCAAATAAACACACAGGAAGCTATATTAATTATGAAGCTGTTGGCCTTGCTTGTTTCTTACTGGCTAGCTCTGCTTTAAGTAATTACCCCATAATTGTTAATCTAAGTATTTCTCTTACCGGAGAATAGTTCCAGGCTTCCTACCCCATGGCGTTACATCTTGACCCTCTTGTGTTTCTCCTTCCCAGAGTCCTCCTGGACTCCTAGTCCCACCTATCTAGATTCCTATTGGCTCAACAGTGCTTTATTGACATAAGACTTCCCCAACAGGTAGAGAATGGTTTACTGGGAAGGGAACCGTGTCAGGACATGGGCCTGGGAGCTGTTGTCCTGGGCAGAGGTCAGGAGAAGGCTTGTCTGAAATAATGGTTCTTAAGTTGGAGAAGGGGGATGCTTGAATATGCTTGAATTCTGAAGCATGGGTACTATATGTTGCAAGTGTTCCTGAGTACTTGGTTCCTACAGCATTGGCTTTTGATGATAAATCGAGCTGGTTAGAAGTCTATGTATGGTCTCATGTAGTTTTACTAGGCTGACTCATATTTCCCTCACATGAACCTGTGGAATATGAATTATCACCACCCAGATCTTGCTTCTGAGGAAAGTGGAGCCTAGGAGGCCAAGGAAATATGCCCGCAGCACGTAGACACTTGGTGCCAAGCTGGGGCTCTTTCCTCATCACCTCTTCACCCAATTCCTTTGCTGGCTTCATTGGGTGGTTAAGCTATGTGTAAAAATACAGCACTGGTTCTAACAGGCCACAATCCCACAGCAGGGACATTCTTTCTGACAGGGAAGACATGTGAGAAGCTTGATTGGCGTACACTTATTTAGGACAAAGAGAGTTAACAGTGGAGAGAGATCTGTGAGAAAACCGAGTGCTGGACTCTGTCTGGTTGGCATGTGTATCCTGTATATCAAAAGTTAATGTCAAGGTGGGGAGAAGCAGAGACATCACCAGATGTGGAGAGTCAGCCCTGATCAGTTCATTATGAAGGAAGATGCCCAGGTCAGGAGTTGTGCTCCCACTCCTGGCTTGATGACGGATGGGTACCCAGAAAGCAGCAACCTCATTGGTTAGTTTTGGAGTTCAAAGAAGGGCATCCCTTGGGAATTGATAACCTCAGTTTTAACTGACAGGCCCAAGACTTTCTGCTAGGAGGAGATTCTCTGTGACCCCAGCCCCACAGGCGGTTTGGGGACAGAAGGCTCTGCCTGCACTGGCTGGACCATCATTAGTGTTGTTCATGTCCCAACTTAGCCATGTGCATGTTGGAGCCTCACGTCTGTGTCTTTGCCCCTTTAGAGCTCACCAATTCTAGACCTGTTTCAGACCTGAAACCAGAATCCTCTGAGAACCTCTGTCTTCTCCTGAGCTCACACGCTCCCTTCACTGTTGTCTCCAAGTCTGTAGACCATCTCCTCAGATAGCTGTGAGAAGGAACCCTTCAATGTTTACCTCAGTTTTGGGTAAGTTCACGACAAACAGTTGGTAACCACAGCAGAAAGAAACACACAGATATCTGAGATGCTTACGTTAGGCCCAACCTCAATGGGTGGCTTCTACTATTGTGTAGTTGCGAAGGGATTCTCAGAGCCACAAGACCAAGATTTAGGCACTCATCGTATGTCTGGAATCCCTTCTCTACCACTGTTAGCAGGGTTCAATGCCACTTGACCTTGAAATACAGAATTTCCTGCTGTTAAAGACAGTGTTTGATAACATATCCCCAACCCCAGTAATGTCATAGGGAATATTCAGTAAGATGGGGTGGTACCCTGTGCCAGGCACCATGCCTCCATGTGTTGATGGTGGTGGAATCACAAAAAGTCATTCTGTGGCATTATTTTCACCTGTGTAGGAATTATTCCTTGAAAGAATATTGTTGGCTCAGTTGAGTACCTGCTCATATGTACATCAAAGTACATACCTCTTGCAACTTGAGTGTGACCTTCTTTGGACATATGGTCTATGTAAGTTTATCAAATTAAGATGATTTGAAGTGCTTTGGGTACAGGGAAGTGGCAGCATGCTTACCTGGGGTTACAGTGGGTGAAGGTGGTCCCTAGTTCAACAATTAGTGTCCCTGTAAAAGAGAGACTGGGACAGAGACAGACACAATAGCATGTATTGAGGAGAGTCTAAGGTGACTTGGCTAAGAATCACTGTGGCCACCCGTAGCTATAGAAAGCAAGGGAAAATTCTGTGTTAGGTTTTGGAGAATACACATCCTGCCAGTGCCTCAGCCCAGAACACTTAGTCTCCTGCACCACAAGACCACACGTTTCTATGACATCAAGCCACCTCTGTGGCATCTTGTTGCAGTAGTCCTATGATACTGGCAACACGACTGGCACACAGGCTATCTTCAGAGTCACATGAGAGTCAGAGCATCTGGGGTCATGGGACAGCCTAGGATGGATAGCTCAGATCCTGAGATGACACAAACCACATATGGGAGTATTCCCAGGAGCCAGGGGATTAACAAGATTCTCTACTGTTGGGTTCCTAAATTAATGAAATCAATGTGTTTTACCTGCAGGGACCAATGTGGGAAGATATGGTCTTTGGCATCACCAGGTGTGGCTTCATCCAAGTTCCTCACTCAACGGCTGGTGAGCTTGAACAAGTCAAGTCACTCAACCCACCGTTAGTCTCCTTCAATGTCCATCCCAGATGTGTAAGACCTGAACCTTGTAACTGGGCTGGATACCTCCCCGTGGATACAGGGTAATCTGTTCCCAATGGTTACATCCAAAGGACACAGTTCTCCCAACCGTCTTGGCAGGCGGAGTGAAACAGACTCAGACATGGGCTTGGTGGAGAGAACCAACAGTTGCATCATGGATATAGCAGGTGCTCTGAGGGAAAATGGGGAAGAAAACCATCTGAGGCCACCTTGGGGTAATCCAGCAGTACCTTGCTTCTTGCAGTAAAGGTTTATTGGGTTTCCATAACCCTTCAGTGAAGGGGTGGCTCTATCCCTACACTACATAAAAGCTTTGTAAATACATCATGAAAGCACTAAAAATGCTTTAAAATGGGAGAGAGGAAGGAAAGCTTGTGTGGGAAGGAAGCATAAAGTCAAAGCCTCTTTGGGTGTAGGCAGAGACCAGAAAGAATGGTCCCATTATTTCATTAAAGCAGTCACAAAGATGTGGGGTTTTGCCAGTCTCAAGCTGCTCACTCCCCAAAGAGAAGCCAGAGTGCACTTTACTGTGTGTGCCTCTGATACCCCGATGAGACACTTAGAGGCTGAGCTTCCAATCTGTGTACAAAGCATGCTCGATCGTACAATCCTAACTGGTGTTCCAGAAGGCAGAGAGATATGTGGACGGCCTGGCGGCTCCAATAAGGGAGGCCTGGGGTGCTGGGGCTCTGCTATGGACAGCTGGTCCAACTTCAGGCCTCTGGGTCATTCTTCTGGCCTGCCTTCTTTCTTAATTCTGCCAGTCTGAAGGACCGGTGGTCTCGGGGATCGGGTATTCTAAAGCATGGCAGTCATCTGAGAGAAACACCAAGTCCTGGAAATGACAAGCAAACGGTGAGCAGACGCACTGCTGCGGGTGTCTCTGGAGCCCGTGAGGAGTCCTAGCGCTCCTGTCACCCTCCAAGACTGTCTGAGTGTCGCTGGTGTGTAGAGATACACCTCCGTCCCCAAGGACGCATTCTCATTGGAATTTGCTAAGGCTTTGCTTGACCAGACGGACAGATGGCTGAGTGGTGGGCAGAATGAATGGGTGTGGCTATTGCAGAGAGTGACAGAGCCAGACACGTGTGTCTCCTTCTGACCTCCGCTTGTGTACATACACTACACATTCATTCTCTGTCTCTGCCCCTCTCTCTCCCTCTCTCCCTGTCTCCCTGTCTCTGACACACACCAGTTTTTTTTTTAAGGAACTTGGAATTTAGAATTGTACATTTAGTTACCTTGCTAGGTATCAGGGAGAGACCCTCCTCCTCCAGAAAGTGTCCTGTGACTCCCTCTGTCTCTTGTCTATGCAATGGCCTAGGAGTGAGCCACCCGCATGGCCGCCATGTGCAACCATTCTGAGTCCTGCTCACTTATCAAGGGTGACTACTGTTGTAGAAAGGTTGTCTGGACTGGAAGTCCCTCCCCCAGCCCTCCTCCCGTGATGTTCATAGGAGTGCCTCACACACCCGCCGGCAGAAGGAGTTCATGATGGTATACAGCTTCCGCACTCTGTCCTTCAGGCTGTCCACTTCAGCCATTTTCCAGCACTGAGGAGAGGCCACGAAGTCCCGCAGCTTGGCCAGCACGCAGTAGTTCTGAGAGCGGGGACAAGAGAGGGCTTTGGGACAAGTAGGAGCCAGAGGGCCAGAGACTGAGCTCATAAGTCCTCCGACATAGCAGAAGACCTCTTCCCACCCTGGCTGCCCCTGCAGCCAGCAGCAGAGGAAGTTCACACCCCCCCACCCCACCCTACTCTACCCACCCCACCCCTCCAGGCAGCACTTTCTTACATGGATATCCAGGTAGAGCCGGGGCAAGTACCTCACACACGAATCCTGCAGGAAGTTAAGTAAGTGGATGGGACAGAGGGTCACAGTCTGCTCTCCCTGCCAGCTGTCCCCCAACCGATAGCCCCAGAACTTTTTTTTTCCTGATGCCATGGCACCCACAGCACGTCTCGCATCGTGATACATACTCTCCCAGAGTCTTACTCCAGAACATAGCCTTTACAATACTGTGAATTAGGACACCATTGTATACAATTACATGTGTACAGACATGCACAAACATGTGTACAAAATCACATAGTGCTGCAGATATGTTTTCATAGATGTAAGCTGATTTTATAGTAGCTAGCTATATCAAGACTACATAAGTATATTCTTATATATTTATCTATGTAAGAGCTTTAAGCTATAAAACAGACACAGCAAGGTGTGTAAGATGTAACATAGCATCATTAAAAGGTGTGTGTGTGACTGTGTGTGTGTGTGTGTGTGCGTGTGTGTACGACCAAAGGCCTGCATATCTAGTGCCCTCCCCTCTATGAACCTCTGTGTGACTAGGGGCTGCTGTTTTCCTTCTCTGTGGTTCAGTTCCCCAGCTGTGAAGTAGAAGACTGAATGCTTTCTCTTCCACTTGGTCCACTCAGCAGTTCTGAGCCTCTGCTCTTACCTTCTAGCACCTGATGTCCCTAAGGTCAGTGCTGTCTGGCAAGGGACTAGGGTACAACTGTCCAAAGAAGTGTTGCACGAACAAAAATAAACTTATCAGGTGTTGTTGTTAATATGCAGCTTGCAACGCCGCTGGTGCTATGTAAAACACATTTCATCACCACCACCGCAGCCACCACCACTGTGGGTCGATACTTGTGCGGGAAAAGCAAATGCCTCCCTCCAATTGTTATAGCAGCAATTGCCTCTAGGTGGCAGGATCACAAACACTTTTTTTTCTTGGTCTTTTGTGCATTTTTCTACTGTTCTGTAGTCTATCACCTTTATCATGAGACAGTAATGCATGGAATTTAACTTTTGAAAAGAAAATACGATGTGTTAAGATAATGTGAGCACCAATACTCGGGGAATGTTGGGTTCTATTCGAACGTGTGCAAGCCACCGAGTAACACTTTTGAAGTTTACCCAGGTTCTTAGGGGAATAGAATGTGTTTTGCTTCTATTAGAGATAAGCAGGCAAAGGGTCTCAGCTCTCTCTCCACTGAATCACTCCCCAGGGGACACCTCAGAGTTCCTTGGGTCTTCCTCTGAGGAAAGGTCTAACAGCATTAACACTTGTCCTGTGTCCCTATGGTCAAACTTTTCAGCTCCATTGCACCCAGAAGGATGCTATTATTCACCTTCTTTACAGAGAAAGGATTGGAGACGGGGGATGAGTAATTGTCCCATAGTCCCGCAGCAGATATGGAGTGTGTCACCCCTTGGCATACATTGCTGATCATCAGGCTAATAACAGAAACAAAGAAGCTTAGTTCTATGTGACTCTAAACTTCTGGTCTCTGTAGGGAGCTGTTTTTAAATTTTTATCTTATTTCAATCTATGTCCGTCCGTCCGTCCGTCCGTCCGTCCGTCCGTCTGTCTGTCTGTCTGTCTTCCCAGGGCAAGGGAGGCAAGTAAGGAACTTACCTCAGGCTCTAAAGCCTGCAGGCTCTGGAAGTCTGCCATGATCTCACGGCTCAGGGTCAGCATCCGGGAGTAGCAGGTGGGGGGCGCAGGCTCTACTGTCAGAGACCAAACGACCACCATCAGCAGCAGCTGCAACAGAGGCAGTGCCCGGGGTGCCATTGTGCCTGCTGCCTACGGCTGGGCCAGCTGTCCCTTTAAACAGCTGCTAGGGGGATATCCAGGGCTCAGGCTCCCCACCTTTTTCCTGTGGAGCCCCTGCCAGGGCCAGGCATCCAAGGAGGGTGGGACCAAGGATGTGACACGCCCATAGGGTCTAGGACACTAGACTCTTTCAGAAGGAAGCTGTTATAAGGGGAGGGGGAAGTTGCAGGGTTGGGGGACTGGAGGCACTCAGAAGGGAAACAGACATTTTCTACCAGAAATTTCTCTCATGGCAGAGAGAGCAGTTGAGAGGGACAGAGGGGAAGGGGGGAGAGATGGGATATTGGATAAGGGCCTAGGAAGGGATAGTTTTTCCCAGTGTCCAAGTGGGGGAACTGTTTCCTAAGACTGGCTGATTTCCTGGAGCAGAATTCGGGGTAGAGGAGGACTAGGGTGCCCCTAATTCTTCCAGTCTTCTGGGCAGGGCAATGTGTAGGGCCAGGGTAGGCAGACTGGGTGCTGTCATCCATACAGCAGGCACTACATAGGATGGAGACTGTTGGATGCAATCCTGGGTCTGCAGGAGAGGCTTCCTCTGCATCTCCTGAGTGCGTGACCATCACTGAACCCCCACTATGCACCCCAGAGGACAGAAAAAGAAAAGCCTGCATCTTTTTAGGACTGAGGTACAGAATGGCTTTGTACTCTTTCTGGCTACATCCTAGGACCAGTTTCTTAAATCTTCTTCATTTTCCCACCTAGCGCAATGGTTTGACAAGTGTCCCAGCTCAGGCCACAGTGACAAGTAGTCAGAGCTTATGCCAGGCACATTGTCACATCAGAAGTCACCAAGATTTCTGAGCTAATATGGCCTCTGCTAAAGCCTGACTGTGTCACAGGAAACAGTCCCAAAGAGTGAGGACGGGACTCACAGGCCCCTGCGTGTTGCTTAGATACCAGCACACATTGGGGTGACTGCAGCAGCAGGTGCCATGTTTCACAGGACAGCGGCGTACTGTGTGGGTCACTCTATTCCCCAGACAAGAAAACAGAGGGTCCTGGGAAGTGTGACACTGGGTAATGGTGCCAGGACTCTAGACCCATGTCTGGACACGTCTGGCACCAAAGCCTCCTGATTCTAGGGGCCAGGCTGAGCTGACCATTTGATGACCTCAGCAGCAGAAACAGAGCATGGTGTCCCAGATACAGGAGGGACTGAGGTAGTGGCTGGGATGAATACCAGCCCTGGGTTTGTGGGAGAATCTCTCCCAGACCTGGCACCAGTTCCCCGTCTGTAAACAGGTGGCTTCAGCCTGGGCAAAGTCTGCCATCCATGCCAGTCCCCACATTTTGTTTATCTATTTTCCAGTGTTCGGAGCCCTGGGTAGGGAGCATACGCTGCTTCTTCCTGTTTTGTAGGCAGAAGTGTGTTCCCCAAAATCCTTCAGAAAGTTGACCTTGGGCCTGGGGCAAGCAGTACTCAGTGAGCAGATTGGTGTGGGATGGGGCAGATCCCCAAACTGTGCCTTTCTTCTGGGTGTAGAGTCTGCACATGCTGGTCTTAGGGGTGCAGGGTCCGTGTGGCTCCTGACAAATGTATCACCTGGCCAAGGACTGCAGGTCTGTTTGAGATGCTCCAGGACTTCTGGATGTGTTAACACTGACCTCAAATCCAGGACACAGGGAGAACCAAACAAGTCCCCTCCAGCATTTTGACATCATGCTGCTGGGAAGCATAGTCCTATGTGTTTGAGCTGAGACAAATGTGTCTCTGGGAGGTGATTCTGCTGCCATGTGGGGCTGTGAGCCGAGCTTCTTACACAATTCAGATGAGCTCCAAGCTCCAGGGTGGCTTCTATCCCTGGCACTCAAAATCCACACATCCTGTTTATGGGTCGAATGATTGACAGGCTGGTCTCTGGGCAGACACTGGTCCCGGATAAGACCTGGTTGATGTTGGAGCCAGGAGAGTCACCATCCAGTGGTAGACAGGGTACTCAGCCAGCTCATAGACACCCACATGAGACTTTATAATTTGACATGTGGGCAGAGAGAAAGTCCTCCCCATGACAGAATTGAACATGTGCCCCGAACCACTTCCTGGGAAGACAGCAGAGAAGGGACAACCTTTGTGGAGCTCAAGGACTATCTCAGTGCATATGAGGAATTCTATCCCCTCTGAGGTCACAGGGACAGCATTTGTTCTGAGCATGAGATGCTTTCTGTGTCAAGTACTATTCCTCCTCCAGGATGATGCGTCATCTTGTATGTGAATGGCTTTGTACTCTTTCTGGCTACATCCTAGGACCAGTTTCTTAAATCTTCTTTATTTTCCCACCTAGTGCAATGGTTTGACAAGTGTCCCCAGCTCAGGCCACAGTGACAAGTAGTCAGGATGCTGCACAGGCCAGGCAGAGCAGTGTGTGAGTGTGTACCCACTTATGTGTATGTATATGTTTATGTGTATATGGAGGCTAAAAATCAACATTAGGTGTCTTTTCCAGTCTCTCTCCTCTCCTTTTTTTTTTTTTTGAGACAAGGTCTCTCATTGACCCAGGGTTCACCAATTCAACTAAACTGGCTGGCCACTGAACTCCAGGGATCACCATGTCTCTGCTGTCCCAGCACTGGGATTCTAGGCATGTACTGTCACACATATCATTTTTCTATGTGCATGTAGGGACTTCATGTTTGCATGGTGACTTTACTGAATGAGGAAACTCTCCTGTTCTGGAGGGCTGATTTTTTCATCTCCATGTCCAGGTGCCTTAGGACCACTCTTGCTATGCGAACATCAAAGCACAAGTACGTTAGTAAACCTACATAATGTACCTATATAGCTTCAACCATTTCCCCTTTACCCTCTGCTCCTGTCCCAGATGTCCTGGAAGCCCCTGGTTGTGGGGAACTGGCCAAAGGCACACTCATGTATTTCCTACTCGGATGTCCTTCCTCAACCCCTCCAAACCCTTATTGCCATGACTCCCTTAACACAGTAGGTTGCTCCAATAATAAGGCACCCCCAGACTCTTTTGTATGGCCCCCAAGACATCTTCCATCCCCAACAGTGTCTTAGATGAGGTCCAGACCTGTTTGTAGCATGGTCCTCCTTATTTCTGCCGAGAACACGGAGTGAAAGAGCCAGAGCCAGTCTGAGCAGATACTAGGCATCTTCTGAAGTAGATTCTTCCTGTATATGCCAAGAACAATGCTTCCCAGAGACTCCCATGGGCCATGCTGGATGAAACTGAACCAGAAAGACTCTGCAGCCCTCAAAGAGGGCGATCACCATGCTGAGCAAGGTGTGTAATAGCAGAAACATGCTTCAGAGCTCCAAACACAGTCCCACTGGTCAGCCTTGGAGCAGCTCCATTCCGTTTGAGATTTTGGGAACATGGAGGACATGGAGGGGTGTGTGTGTGTGTGTGTGTGTGTGTGTGTGTGTGTGTGTGTGTGTGTGTTTGAATGTGCAATGTCCCCTGTAGATTCACATGTTTGAATACCTGTTTCTCAGAAGGTGGCACTGTGGAGCCTTTAGGACAATGGTTCTCAACCTGTGGGTTTTGGGAATCTAACCACCCTTCCACAAGGGTCACATATCATATATCTTGCACATCAGATATTTACATTAAAATTCATAACAGCAACAGAATTACAGTTATGAAGTAACAATGAAAATAATTTCATGGTTGGGGACTACCACACCATGAAGAACTGTATTAAAGGTTCGCAGTATTAGCAAGGTTGAGGACCACTGTTTCAGGAGGTGGGGCCTAGCTACTGGAAATCCATAGTGGTGGCAGGCTCTTGTCCCCTTTCTGCTTCCTGGTTTGTTTGCTCTGTGAGGTGCTCTGTCATGGGCTCCTGCTGCCTGGCTGAGCAGCTCTTTTTGCTGTGCCTGTCCTGCCACGATGAATGGACTGAAGCACTTAGAAACCATAGCTGTCAACTTTCCTCCCGAGGTTGTGTCTGTCATGTCTCCATAATGAGAAAAATCCCTAGTGTAGGGTGGAGAACTAGAGGTTGTCATATGTTGTGGAATGGTTCTTTACACTGTGTGAAGATGTGTTGCTGAGATTGGTGTAATAAAAAGCTGAACAGCCAATAGCTAGGCAGAAGGTATAGGCGGGACTTCTGGGCAGAGTGAGAACTCTGGGAAGAAGGAAGGCAGACTCACCAGCCAGACTTGAAGGAAGCAGGATGAGTAGTGTGGAAATGAGGTAATGTCACATGGCAGAACTTAGAGTAATATAAATGGGTTAATTTAAGTTATAAGAGTTAGTAGAGAACAAGCCTAAGTTAAGACTGAGCTTTCATAATCATTAAGTCTTTGTGTTATTATTTGTCATCTGGCTGTCCTGACAAGAAAATACTGCTACATATGATGCCCAACATGGGATTTCAGATGTAATGATTAACTAAATTATTCTATTGTTAATAGAAACACAGGAGTCAGATATGGGGTTAAAACCTGATTGATCAGAGAAGAAGCAGGAAAGCAACCAATGGCCTCCTTTCTTTCTCCTACCTTGATCCAAAAAAACCCTCACATCTTTCTAAGCCCCTCCCTACTACTTCCTGTGTCTCTCTATCTGTCCTCAGTCTTCCAAAACCTCTGTGGCTAATTTTGGTCAGCTAGTAGCTAGCTCCACCTTCTGATTCAAGGTAAACTTTGTTGGCACAGTGGAGTGGCAGTGTGTACAATTCTCTCACAACAATCATAATGTTCATTATTCTCACAGAAAGAAAACTCTCCCAAGAGTCATCTCTCTCAGCTTAGCTTTGAATGCGTTTTTCAGTCCTCTCTAAGCACCACACTGACCTATAATTGTGACTGTACACATTAAGAAGGGAGTTAAGTCATGAAAGCTTTGTCCTCAGAAATGGACTAAGGCCCTTGTCTTGGGAGGGCACTAGTTATCACCTACAGGCTAATTAGAGTTCCATGTTTACTTCCTTTATAACCTGTTCATGGGCCCTCTTCTTCCATCATGGGAGACCCAAATACAATAGATGTCAGTGTCTTATTTTGGACTTCTTGGCCTCTAGAACCATGAAGCAAGTAAAATTCTGTTGT